TGAGTGTGTGTGTCTGTGCGTGCATGCGTGCGTGTGTGTATGTGTGTGTGTGTTTCTGTGCGTGTGTGTGTCTCTGCGTGCGTGTGTGTGTGCGTGTGTGTGCGTGTGTGTGTGTGTGTGTAAGTGAGTGAGTGTGTACGTGGGAGGGTGGATGGCTTGGTAGGTGTCAATGTAGGCTTTTTTCACGCCATCATTGGCTAAATTAAGGTCGTCTAGGAAGGGGCCCTCGACCCAGGCTGAGAGAGGTAGGAAGCAAAGTCCCAAACAGTGAGATTAAAATACGTTCTTGATAAAGAATATTCCCTCTTTGCAATTGATCTCATGTCTTCTGCATGCAACATAAAAAGCCTAACCACTGCACCACAAACACCAGTACCGCTCGGTGTGCTTGTGTTTCGGACCTCATTAGGTGGGTGGTTGGCGGGTGCTCTGGAGTGGTTTGCTTCTTCTTTCCCATCAAATATCTATCGTCCTTATCTCCCCTTATTTTTATGTTTGTTACTCTCTTGTAACACCTCTATTCTTCTGGCGCTCGTATGACCTTATGCAGTAGCGAGTGCCGTAAAACCTCTATAAAACTAAGACCTCATTAGTCAGCTTGAAATAGAATACTATTAATTGTATTCATCCCGAAAAGGAAATGTATGACGCAATGAAACTGAAAGTGCATGCTTGAAATATTTGAGAAGTTACATGAATGTCCCATATTTTACGTGGGTGGTTGGCGGGTGCTCTGGTGTAGTTTGCTTCTTCTTTCCTATCAAACATATATCGTCCTTATCTCCCCTTCTTCTTTTTCATGTTTGTTACTCTCTTGTAACACCTCTTATCTTCTGGCATTCATATGACCTTATGCAGTAGCGAGCGCATTAAAAACCTCTACTAAAACAACAACAAAACATCTTATACAATGATGCTATCATACGGAGTGATTGTGTGTATGATTTTGTTTCTTTCCTGTTCTTGCTTCTCTTTTTTTTTAAACCTCCAATTGGATCAACAAGGGGCGAAGGTAGATGTTTAATTCAGTGCTTTGTGGCCACTGGTCCAGATCCTATAAAACATGCCAGTAATATTGCAGTAGAAACTTCCGCAGAAACAGCACCAATTTTAAATGACATACATGATGGTACCAACAACATTTTAAAAACGGTTTCTTTTCTTTAAAAAATGATTCCATAACAAAATCGAACAGGTTGTTCGTAATATCCCTTTTC